GCCAGCATCTTCTGTTTTGTACTTTTTCTCCAAAGACTCCCAAAGTTCCTTTTCCGTTTTGATACGACTGTAGACGTTGTATAATGTGTTGTCAAGTCTGTTCAAGATATAGTTCCGGCAATGGAAATCAGCATGTTTCTAGGCATCGACCGCAGCAACCACTTGCCTGCCAGTTTCATCCTCTTTTAGAGTAGGAGCATCCTCACAGAGAAAACGTGCCAAGTTGAGAGTAGTAAGATAGAACAACATTTTATACTGCCATCTTTTAAAATCAGTTCCTGAGAACTTCTCTGGCTTTTCACCGTGATTAACTGGCACAGTCACAACAGGAGAGGAGGTTGGCGCAATTGCAGCCACTATACCAGTACTTGTTTAAGTATTAGTTTAACCAGTTTCAGTAGCCATGAATTATAAATTATAAAACAAAATTATAATTAGGATTTTATACTACACAGAAAATTAAATCATAAACACAGAATTTTAAATTCTGTAAAGTAAAAAAAAAAACAAGAATTGTAACTTTTATTTTCAATTAATTTGAAAATAAAATAAAATTTTATTTAACCAAATTAATTCCACACAGAAAATTAAATTTCTGTCAACACTTCAATAATTAAAATACTAAAATAGAATTTTAATCAATGAACACTCATAAATTATTTCTAAAAACCAAAATTAATTTCTAACAAATTTCACAAATAAATATTATGAATTGTAAATGACACCAGCATATTACTACTATCTGTCAAACAGTATATTACTACTATTTTTTTTTCCAACCAGAATATTATTTTCTAAAATCACAGAAAATAAAATCTGTAAGAAGAAAAAAGAGGAAAGGAAACAAACGAAAAATTCTGTATAAACAGAATAATTCGAATTTGTCTTAAGATTGTTGGAACAATCTTCTGTGTACAATAAATAAATTGAAACAAATCAAACAAAAGAAAATAAATTACTTACCAAATTTATTTTACCAAACCAAGTAAATAATTAAAAGATCAAATCGAATGCGTGACACTCTGTCATTAAGACAGATTCGCCTCGCTACGGTGCTTACGGTTAATGGCGTCTATCTCCCAGGATACAATGATCTTCACAAATTGTGGTAGCACTCGAAACAATTTGTACAACGAACAAAACATGTGTTCTAACTATAGCGACCCCGGTCTTTTCCCATTTAATTATTGTATCCGGACATAGGTTCCGTAGATTCTGTCATTGTATGATTGTTGTTGTTGTCCCTTATTTTCTTATTTGGAGTTATAGGATGTGTTGGGCAGGTTTGTTTCAGGTTGGTTGGGTTTAGGAACCAAGTGTTGCTGTCCAGAATTTTGGTTCTTCGCTCGAGCGAGGAGTTGGTCGCTCCAGCGAGCTGTTGTTTTTGGTTATTCGCTCGAGCCGGGGTTTGGTAGCTCGAGCGAGAGGTTGCGTCTGATTTGGACCTGTAGCTGTGCATTCTTGGCTCGAGCGAGATTTTCTTCGCTCGAGCGTGTTAGTTCGTTCTTCGCTCGAGAGATAGTTCCTTCGCTCGAGCATGTGTCTGGTTACAGACCTGAGGGTTTGAGTTCATCGCTCGATCGAGTTTTCTTTCGCTCAAGCGAGCTTTTGGGTTGTTGGCTCGAGCAAGGCTTCCTTGGCTCGAGCGTTGCTTCTCTGTGTCTGGTCGCTCGAGCGACCAAGTCTTCGCTCGAGCGAGCCTGTCCAGTTTATATACACAGCAGCGGGATTTGATCAGTCTTTTTCATATTCCAAAACCCTGTTACGAGTTTTCTCTCCTTACACACCTTCTCTCTTAGGATTGATCTTCTTAGGGTGTTTTCTACCCTAAATCCTTCATTAAAAAGAGTGTGTGAGTCGAGGCTTCGTTTTAATCTGAATTGTTTGTTGTTTGGAGCACATTGGTATTTGGGTCTTCATCTCCGTCTTCTCCATTCGGGTTATTTTCTGCGAGGTAGGGATTTCCTACTCCATTTTATAGGTTTTGTTCTAAGTTTTGGTATTTTGATATGTTGGGGATACTTTGGTAAATTTGGGAAAAACCCTAGTTGTATTATTAAATTAATTTGTATAATTAATTCATGGAATTGGGAAAAGATGGTTAAATTCATGGAATTGGGAATTCATTGATTAAATGGCGTAGTTGGATAATGCGAATCATTTGTCTATTGAATAGTTGACCATAGTTATTTTTAGTTTAGAAATAACTGTTTTTGGGCTATCGGTGGAGGATGGTCGTGATTGTTGTAGACATTGTATGTGGATTAGGAATAACTGAAACTAATCATATTGGTTGAGTCATTCATTTTGACTGCTGAATTAATACAGTCATTATGTGTATTGATTGTGTGTTGATTGAGCATTGCATTTGCATACATTGTTTTGTGTGGGAGGAGATAGGGGATGTACTCCACGGTTTAGGGGAAGATAGGAGATGGACCACTAAACCGGATTTTGTTTGGGAGGAGATAGGGGATGGACTCCATTAGCATCACTTTTATGTGTGCTTATTTATATAGAAGTGTTTTATTGATACAGCGCTAAAATGTGTATCAATCTGGAAGTATGAAGTGTTTGATTTGAGCTTGTGTCTTATTTGTTTGCTGATATTGGAAGGATGTGAATATGATATATGTAATTCACTGTTGTAAGTTTGGCCAGGTTCTGAGCCATGTTGATAAAATTGGAAAGTAAAACGTGTCTTAGACAATAGTGTCATGAGACTGTAAAATGAAGTAATTGATTATCTTGGTTAACCATCTGTTGAATGCTATTGCTTTATTCATTGCTTATATGTGGTTTAGTATATTTCTACTGGGCTGTGGCTCACCCTTTATGGGAACATCATTTTCAGGTTCAGGTGATAAGCTACCTCCAAGGACTTAGCTTGGAAGGACTTGGACTTTGAAGACTATTTTTAGTTATTTGTTTTTCATTGTTAGTACATGTAAACACTCAGGCCTAGGGCTTTATTTATGTTTGAGTTAGAACTCATACTTTTGTGTCCAAGTATTGGCTTGGAAAGATGTAAGCCGGCAGGGCATTTATTTTGATGTTACATGTAATGCTTTTGTTTAGTAAGACTCTGATGGATATTATAATGAAGTATTAAAGTGTTCTTTTTAAATAATGCATGTCAATGATATATATAATGGGTTATTTCTGAGGGCGTTACACTAACTCTCTGAATTTTTTTTCCCTAAAATAATATGAAGATTATATCATGCAAGGGAGCAAAACTAGAAGGAAAGTGAGAAGTTTCATATTGGAAATCTGCTGGAATGGTCCAGGTATATATAGGGCTGAAAAAGTGTGAATTCTAACTTCAACAGGTCTGAATTTTGAACGAACAGGTGCTGTTACTATTCAAATAGATAACTACTGGAATGTTTGATCTGTCCAAACTGTATAAAACCGTTTGAACTGGGAAGATTCAAATTTGTATAACTGTAGCCGTTTTGAGCAGTTAATCTGTTGGATATTCTGGACTGAAAGAGGCAAATATGGACAGAAAATTAAATTCAATTTTGGCACAAAATTTGAATTTAATTTCATTAAGAATTTTTGGAAAAAAAATCAAATGAATTTTGTCCAAAAAATTAATATTAGACCCAATCCACAACCCACACCGGCCCTCGACACCGCCAGACGGCGGTGGCGGCGCGCGTGTGTGTGGTGGTTTGAGCCAAGGTTTCATTTGTCCATAATTCCTCCCTTCTGCAAACTTATGGTGCCCCTTGGGGCCTAACCCAAGGTTGTACACCTAGAGCTTATATACTCACAAAAGCTCTCTTAAAGTTTCAATGTGGGACAACCCATTTTAAGGATACCCACATTTAATTCTTTAAATGTTCATTCCACGAACCCGAAAACAACATCAAGTTCTCATTCACTCATAAATGGTTTTGATGAACCGTCTTCACCGTGTGACTTACCATGCGGCAAGGAACACGTCACCTCGTCGGACTCACCCCAAAAGACATGCGGGACACTCTCTATTTTGGGTTCAAAGTTGGCCCAAAATAAGCCTATAAAAACCAAAATTTCCAACATTTATTGTGTTAATTTGATAGCTCTATCGCATCAACTTATTTAATTTTTTATAATCTGTTAATTTAGTCTGATTGATAATATCGATTAAAAATTTGGACAAAATTAAAGACAAAATGGTTCATTCAAAAGGGAATGGACCATTTTTAATTACTTTGAGAATAGTGAATTAACTATTTGACTTTAATTTTAATCGAGTTTATTATCCGATAGATTTTTTGTGCAAAGTTGATGGGTAAAATTAATGCAATTAAAACTGTAATAAAAGGAAAATGAAGTAGACTATAAACTTAAATAGTATTGATTTGACACATTGTGACAAATTAAAAATAAAATTAATGCAACTAGAACAAAAGGATGAAATTGACATAAAAGGCAAATTAGGTGATATAATTTATGCATATAAAAATGATAATGAAATATTATTCATTATTTTATTTTTGTATAAAAATTTTTCCAGAACAGAATTTTCTATATTAAATTCGAATGCGGCTGGTTGGATCCGGTATCCAAACTCAAAAATCCAAACCCAAACCCATCGACCCAACAAATACTTTCTTAAACGGCAAGCCACATGACAGTTGGCTTGACTGTCATGTCACTCACTCTCTCCTGTTTACAGACTTAAAACCTATTCCAATTTGTAAACAAAATTCCACATTATTTACCAATTCCCAAAACCCTAAGACCAAATCCTGTAAATACCTACATAGTAATAAGAAAAATTCACATCAATTCAATATTCTCTAAACAACACAAACAAGAAGTAGTCTTTGTGAAGATGGTATTGATCAAGAGGAAGCATGAGGAGCTTGAGATCAAGAAAAGTGTCTATGGCGATGGAAAGCTGTGGTTCAGAGGGCCCATCATTGGAAAATCAAGCAGCGGGACCGGTTTATTTGGCGACTTTGAAGTAACCCACGTGGAGACTCACCCACTTGCCTATACTTATGGTTATGAAGTCTGCTGAGGTTTCTGATTCTGCTATGCTTCAAAGAGAAGCAATGGTTCTTAACAACTTCCATGCTTGTCCCTACATCTATCGTTGTTTTGGGGAAGAAATCATGACCGGTTATTGCAATTGCATTATTTATAACATTCTCTTGAAGTATGGCTCTGGTGGAACCCTAGCTGATTTGATCAAGAAAAGTGGTGGCAGAGCATTGCTTGAATCTGAGTCCGGATCACTATACAACAAGGGTAAATCCGGGATCGCTATATCTTGATTGTGTTCATAGCTCTGGTTATGTTGACCGTGCTCTAAAGCCTGAGAATATCATAGTTGTTTCAATTAGTTCTAGTGTTGGGATTGAGTATGTGGCTAAGGTTGATGATTTTGGGTTGGCAAAGACAGAAAAGCAGATGAGGAAGATGATGACAATGTCAAAATCTTATAAATTGAGAGGATATTTTCGGTGTTTGTCGCCATAGATGGTGGTTGATATAGGGCTACAACAAGAGACTCTTGATGATGTCTGGGATGTAGGCTGTATTGTGTTTGAGATGTTATTTGGGAAGTCTGTATGGGATGGGAAACAAAATTCAGAAGTTGAGGACATTCTCTCTGACATTGGTAAAGGGCATGGACTACTCAAACTACCCAATGAAAGTGAGGTATCAGAGGAAGCAATGGACTTTGTGAAGTGTTGTTTTGCTGCAAAAGCTATGGATAGATTGGCTGCTCAAATGCTCTTGAATCACCCTTTTCTGGCTGGATTGGGCGAAGACAGCGAAGACAATGAAGAAGAATTATCAGTGGAGAATTCTGAGGAGACGGGTTGGTCGACATCTACATTATCATTGTCAGTTTACAAGGTTGATGATGAACTCAGTTCATCCTACATTCTAGATGAAAGAGGTTTAAAAGTCAAAAAACTAAAGCTTGATGCAGAGGCAATTAGGGTTTGCTCATCGTTGTCATACAAAGACAGTGCTAAAGGTCAAAAAACTAAAGCTTGATGCAGAGGCAATTAGGGTTTGCTCATCGTTGTCATACAAAGATAGTGCAGTGGAAGATGAAATCAGTTCTTCTTGCCTTTCGGATGATTGGAGCAACATGCCATTGGAGGCAGAGGAATTGTAGGACATTTTAGAACCTGGGAGGGTTGATTGGTCATTGTCACTATCAGTTCAGTATTAGGAAGATGAACTGCTTCCTCTTCATCTATTTGTGTAGATAAAATGTTTCTCATAATTAGTGGCTTGGCCCTGTTAGAGTAAACAGAAATGTAGAGTGAGACAAAAAAATAGATTTGTTACTTGAATTTATCTAGTTACATAAATATAACCCATTGGCATTGAGTAACTATTCTGTAAATTACCTGTTATGAGGTTTTATAATTCAAATTAAAATTAGAGAGAAAATGACAGTATAATTTTCTTCCACATTCTCACCATCTGGTTGTATGAACACACACACATAGCATTATTGCAATTCACTTCTAAATTTGGGATTCCACTATTCATGGGTTATGCACAAAAGTGAAAGTTGGTTGATCGACTCATTGATGTTAAGCATAATATGAGGTGAATATCAAATCGGTGAGTCTTTGGATTACTGTGGCAACCCCTCTCTCCTTTGTCGACAACCTAGTATGCATGGATATTGTGGATTTTTAATTTTTTTTTTCATCAACAAAATAAAACTTTGTTGATGTAGCCAATAGTGTAATACAAAACACTAATATAAACATCAGTAAAGAAAAGTGATATTGCAAAAGTGCATCATAGCAAAGCCATTCCATTCCAAATAGGTTGGCACGAAAACGCCAGCAAGTCATATTCAAATGCCACCCAATAAACAAACAATGCTGGAAAGATTCCAACCAAAACTAGATAAAAACATAATAGAATAGGGAGGAGGAAGAAGAAGAAGAAAACAGTCCTAACATTGAACAAAGCAGTGACAACAATTCCAAATCAATACTAACAATAGGCTGCAAAACAAGTCCCCGAGAAGTCCATAATAACCCCTTCAGAAACCAAACTGCAAGCTCGTAAATACAAGCAACTACAGTAGCCCCACCAAAACATTGGCAACACGTATGCAAATAGCAATAGAAGAAAGATGGGAGAAACCTTTTAGTACTGTCACTATGCCATCTAAACCGAATCAGCCCCTCTATTTTTTAGTTTGAAAATCCCCTCTAAAGAGTTAATGAAGTTATACAGAAAATTTTCAGAAGATGTTAAAGGAAGGAATGGTCATTAGGATCCTCAATCAAATTTTGGTCTGACCTTTGGATGGGAGAAAAAGCTCTATTTGGTTCACTGGAATGAGATGGAATGATCATTCCCTAACAATGTTGAATGATGATTCCATTTGCAATGTACTTTTTATTATATTTTTAATCAACCAAACATGGGAATGAACATTTTGTTGGAATGATGATTCCATTCCGCTTTATCTAGTGAAACAAACAGCACCTGAAAGCTAGGTTTCAGCACTTTCTAATTTCTAATTGCAAGGAATGCATGATTAAGGAGTTGCATAGTTGATCAGGAGAAAACTTTTTTGCCAGAGAATTGGAGCTTTTTGAGTCCTTGTTAAGATTGTTGGAGAATTCTTTAAACAGAAAAGACCAATAGAAGTGATGCATTATGATAAAAATGAGAAAAATAGGGAATGTTTACTGTTAAATCCTTCTATGAACACTGTTATTGTCTATGGAGCATTTTCATTACCTATCTCATCTTCAAAAATCTTGAAAAAGTTGTGCCCATTTGGAATTGAAGTATTCAGCTGGCAAGGTAGCCTACTCGTGATTGTGGCATCTTATTGAAGAGGGGATATGTTTTTTTTTCCATCATATGTTTTCAGAATCAGCATATCATGTACTCTTACATTGTGAGTTTGCTTGAAAAGTATGGTCAAAGTGTCCAAATTGGTAAAGTATACAACAATTTTACATTAAATGGGTATATCCTCCTTTGTAAATTTCTATGCTTTGTTGCTATGCTGCCATTGTGGAAAGCTCGTAACAATCTGATTTATAATAATAAGGTAGAATAGAATTGTTCTAATTTAGTTGACTTAAGTAAAGGCCCTTTGAGAATTTAAGGACTCCTCTGTGAACAATTTTCTTAATAACCTAAATTGGTGCTGCTGGGTATTTAATGGTGATTGATGTGCTGTTGTGATTAGGAAGTAATTTACTAGGCACTGCTAGATGTTGTGTGGATTTTTTTTCCCTCTCTTGAAGACTTGCTTGGAGGCTTATTTTGAGGACGATATCATTATGGATTTGATCATCAGTTGAAAATTAATTGACTACAGAAAATATAACATACATATCTATTCTAGAGAGGTTGATAATGTGGGTGGTTGTTGTTGTTGTTGTTGCTGTTGCGGCAGCCGCGGTGGTGGAGGTGTGTTGGTGTTGAGGAGAGGACACGAGGCAGAGGAACACTGCAGAGACCATGATATTGACAGAAGATGGTAAGGAGGATAAATCCAATTGACAAATTATGAGTTTGGCTATCGTTAACATTCTACTTTTATCATCCATGGACATGCTGCACCACAATTTATGAAAGAACGAATGGATATCTTATGCGGCAGAATGGTAATGTCATAGCGATCTGATATGACCAGAGACGAAAGATTAGAAGAGGATACTTCCATAAAAAGTAAAGCATGAATAGGGATTTTCATTACAACGAATACCAAGTCATGATTATAAAATCGCTCTAATTTTTATTATAAAAAATGGTCGCCAAATTTTTTTATATTATAAAATATTCAAATTATAAAACCAGACTCACAATAGATCGGCCATACAAAGGTCTTAATATTTTCTTAAATTCATATTTGAATAAGACTGAAACAACTGCATTTCCTCGTGTATGAGTATGACTACTACCTCTCTTTTAGTTCAAAAGGGAAATAAATGAAAATAATGTTTCCAACAATGATTAAGCAGTTAAAAAGGAGATATTAACTTACCGGGAACAACTATTATATGACTACTACATTTTTTTAGTCACGAAAAGCTCATATTGGGCAACAAAATTCTTTGGTCGGCAAAGAGTAACCCAAAAAATGTGCATGGTCTTTGACAACGAAACTTTCTTTTGTCGGTAAATAATTGTATACGATGATCAAATTAAAATTTTCGTAGCCTAAAATATAAACTATCACCGACTAACAGGTTTTTGGTCGCCTATTACTTAATATTTAGTGACTAAATTTTTTTTAGTCGCCAATAAATAGCATATCTCGACTAAATTAATATAGTAGCTAAACTTCAAACCAACGCCGACTAATATATTTTTTAGTCGCCAAAAATGACACTTTTGGCGACTAAATTTATTTTGGTCGCCAAATTTAGTCGCCAAATGTATAATTTCTTGTAGTGAAGGAAACACAAACCCATATCGGTTTCTTGAACATATAGAAAAACACAAATGATACAAATGATAGAGAATCAAAATGATTGAGAACCACCTAGAATACCTGCAAAACTCCATAGCAAATATTACTACCAAATGATACAAATGCAGATATTAGATAAATAAATGAAAGAGAGAACCAGAGTGTTAACCATAGTCCATAGAACAACAGCTACTACTCATTCCATAGTAGACTTGTGGGTGTTTCCAAGTCAGCCATTTTAAAACATTTGGCTCAATTCAACCAAATTCTAACTCAAATTGGACCAATAGATATTGGCTAAACTAAATGGGTTATGTATAAACTGTACAACAACATGATTCCAATATATTCTAGGTGTTTTGATTTAAGGTTTAGAAAAACAAAAATCAAATGAGGGCCAAACTGCTGGTGACTTTTTCAACTTGGCAACCTAAAAAGAGTCCCAAAAGAACAACCACTTAAAAAATGCCCCAGTAAAAACATCACACCCAGATCCTCTCCCTAAAATCACACCAAACCCAGATCATAAAACTAAAATTCTTGGGTTCAATACTTACTGCTAAATAATCACAAAAGATTAGACAAAAGAACGTAGGCTTATTGAAAGAGATACAATTCCATTTAATCCAATAACAATAAAAAAATGATACAATTTCTCCACAAAATAAAACTAAAAATCAAAATTACAGAAAGAGGATATCATAAACTAAAATGGCATGAAGTTGAACCAAACTTGTGTGTTTCAGAACAATCTAAATACCTAAAAATAACCCAAGTCAATTAAGTACAAGTCGAACAAATAACCCAAGTCAATTAAGAAAAATACCTAAAAATTGAACAAATCGATAAATAGTCCAACAACCCAATTCAATTAAGATCATCAACACTCTAATAGTTAGTTGCCTTGATGAGTCCAAATCTTTTCATTATCAAAAAGCTACCCATAAGACTTAAAGTAAACACAATCCCAACTTTCAGAGCAACTAAACAGAGTAACCAATTATGGGAAATCCAAATTTTAAGGAAACCCAAATTCAATTTCTTTACTATTTCCCAC